GATCATATGTATTTCGAATAAGGGTTTAACTAAGATGTCTCTTTTAACTAAACCCTACTAATCAAAATTGAAGACGATCATATATATTTCAAATGAGGGACAACTCTCAGCATGTAGATGGTGATTCCTTAAGGCAGAGCTGCAACATATGTTTAATTCATTCTTGATTATTTTGGCCATGCATGCATGCATACTGAAATTGAAAGGTGCAAAATATTGACTGAAAGTTTTCAATGCTCTGGAAAGAGAGAACAAACGAACGTGTGCACTGCAAGGCAAAAAATACCAAATTGGAAAACGATCATAAATAGAATTTAAACTAATAGTACACGTTCAACTTAATTTAAAGGGTTGGATTTAGCAACAAACAATATACGGTTCAAAATATATGTTAGCTCCTTCTTCAATTGTCAAATGCAGCTCAAACATCAGTTTCATCTTTTTTAGGTTATCTTACAGTCAGTACAACTTGGACTAACCACATGTACAAGTCCCCCTTTAACAGCTGTGGCTCAAAGTTACACGTTTTAGGTGAACGTTTTGTACCCTGAAATCCCTAGTCATTTTGCATTGTAATTTGCTCTTGTTCCAAATTGTCAGGTCATTGTTTGAGGTGAAGCAATCATATATAGTTTTAATGTTGTGAGTACGGAACGAGAAGTAGTAAACCAATAAATTGTCATATCATTTGTCACATGGTATTTGGAATTTTTGCCCCTTCTCTAACATTTTCTTTTATGAGGGAAATTTAATTTGTTGGTCTCAGCAAATGCAAATGGAATATTATTAAATGGCATTCATACCTTATGAGTCACAACATTCTAGCTACTAGCTAGACCAAATCATAGAAGTGCCCCATTAAATAAATGTCACAAAGAAAATGCTTACTTAGATATATGAATTTAGGATATACATTTTTTTTCTTCATGTGCTGAAACTTTATGTTGTATGGTCAGACAATAAACTTTTTGGGCCATGGGAGCAGATAAATCTTCTAATGAAAATACCTGAGCAGCTGACATGGGTGAATGATTTAAGGGTTGTTTTGTTGACATGGTGCCCTGCACATGCATTTCTTCTTCCTTGGGCCATTCTATGCCGACAATGCAGGAAATTCAGCACCATACTACTGTGACTTCTCTATCTCTTGCATTTTTGGCTTATGTTTTTCTGCGTAATGTAGGTAGTATCATGCAGATTTGTTTTATGCAAAGTAAGGTAGCTAGCATTAAGTCAACAATTTTGATATGGTTTTGTCTGTTATGGGCATGCATAATCAAATTGGCCATGGGAAACCTCCATATGTTTTTGGTTTTAATTTATTTTGTAATATTTATGGAAGTCGATATTTATTTTTGAAATTAGGGTTTAGGCAATTGATGGTGTAATAGGAACAGTATTTGAATGGATGAGGAATTGAACTGTTAGTATTCACGTATTAACCTATGCTGAAAAATAATTATTCATTATTGACCCGAAGTATGATAATTATTTACTTGCGAAACCCAAATTATTTGCTATAATTTCTGCATATTGAGAATCATGCTTGCCATGAAAAATAATTGCTCTCATATGTATGTGTCGAAATTAGGTGATAATGCTTTGCATGTTCATGTTTTCAATCTGTTTAAATAAAAATATATAAACAAAAACCAATGAAAATTAACAAAGCAAAAGGGTCCTACAAAAACCAAATAAACGGTTCACGAGATATGATATACAAATTAATTAGGAGCAAAAAGAAGTAGACCCATAAGGGTTTGTCACAAGAAAATGCATAACATCTTTTGAATATCCTTCTCTTGAGCTTTGAAGTTTGGACGAATAATATTTTAATCAAATTGATGATCCGTCTAATGGTGTATCATTTGAGAGTTGTCTGCTGACTTTCGATCTATACAAAACAAATGCAAGTTGATAAGGCTGATACCAGCTTTTATCCTCCGGCCAACATCATTGATCAGTGCATATAATTTATGACATGCATAGTCGAATGCAAGTTAGTGCATGTCTACCATATGAAGAGCATAGTGGCAGATGAGATTGTCGATTGGAGCTATAATATAGATCTTGGGTACTATTATTTTGAGAATTTTCCTGATTGAATTGAAACTCAGTTATTTGATGATATGACGGGAGTCCCTAAGACTCGAACTATCTATAATAACTCTTTTAGCTAGTTTTTTTGGATGATCCACCCCTTATGTTACCAAAACAAAAAACGAATGCAAGTTGAGGCGGAATTACAAGTGGCCAATTACCCATGCACTACGTGTTCAAAGTAGATGGAAAATATAATAGGCAATGCTCCAAGGTCAAATAATGAAAATTAATTAAGAAATAATATAGTTATTACTCTTCTATATATGTGATCTTAACACTTCCACTAAAAATAATGTTAAAAATTTTTCACGATTATCTTTAGTCCTATAGCCTCCTAGGTTTAATTAGTTAATTAATTAAGTAAGTAAGTCAAACTTTGTTAATAATGTTACACTACGACTGTAGTCCACGTCTCGCACATATCATTGACCTTAGGCTGCTAACAAAAGATAGGACATTGCGATGGAATTATTGGATTCTTTGATCTTTGAATTATTATCCCTGTATTATATTAAATAATCAATTAGTTTAGGTGGTTCTGGTTGCATAATAATACTACAAAATTGATAGCTACCCCAAGGCATATATGTTATAATAATATTCCATGGCATCGGCATTCTGCAGCAGTCCCACGAAACCGCGTACCAACAACTGCTAACAATATTACTTTCTAGCTATGAGATTTATGCCAAAACCTAAACAGCTAATTAACTAAATCCAAAAGATTTAATTCTGGTTCCTCCTTAATTAAGTACTGTACGTCTTAATCAACCATGACTTGTATGTATAAAAGACATACACATACGTACATGCTCACACATACTGAAATACCGTACCCCACAGGAGCCCGCAGCGACGGCCGAGCCAAGTTTGGTTGATTCTCGCCGGCTAAAATATAAAAACAAAACTGAATATACAATCAATTAGTATATAACGTCAGGCAGAAGTCATATATATATATATAGACATTGCAACTGTAAGTGCCTCGATCATCAATTGTGTCACATATTTCTTAAATATTTGGTGTGTGTATATATATATTTATTTATAGTGGAATATTGATCAAGTTCTTGTGCGAATCTCAGTCAAAATTAATCCCACGGCTGTTCACACTCGTTAGGAATGTTGGCTTTCCTTGCTGCGTTGCTGCTATGGAAATTGATTCGATCTGTTGATACTGGATAACTACTGGAGTCTGGATGGTTGCAAACTTGCAGGGCGCCAAAAGTAATTAATCCAAAGAAAAGGTCATGGCCATGTGATCCTGGTTCATCTTATGAAGAAAATTTTCTTCCTAGTTAATACATATATATTGCCACACTTTGCCACAAATACTAGAAAGAGCTCCTATATGCAACATTAGTCAACAGAAAAAATCATGAGAATGTGTACGAAGGAGAAGTTTTCCGAATGACATGTTTATTTGCTAGGAATTGGTAGACTTAGGAATTAATAGAGGATCAATGAGAATCAGTTCAACTATCCAGGAATTAAAGAGAGACTTAAAATAAATAAACAAATAAAATAAAAGAATTGAAAGATGAGAAGATGGTATGACGCTACCTATCCTCGCCTGTTCAGTTGATGCCGTACTACAAATCCTAACATGAGGAGTCAGTAGCATCATTATCAATCCTCCCATTATTCTTCATTTTTTTAATTTTTTAATTTTTTCCTTTTGATAACACCAGATTATTGTATTTATGTTATACAAAATGTACTTATCGGTGTAAATCTCTAAGAATTCAAGTTTAAACACTTGAAAAACAATGATATAAAAGTTAAAATTAAAGAATTTTGAATCTAAACAAATGAGTTCAAATACTAGTATATTATACTTACCTCCAACTGTGGTTCCAATGGTGCTGACGTCCACCTGCGCGCAATTGGTGGCTGGTGGCCGGAGTTGGATACACTCTAAAAATCACTGGATGCACACTCCTCAGTTCTCCACCAAGATGACAAATTGGAATTTCTCATGAATTGTAATTTTGTTTTAATTTCGCATTGAAAACTCGTTGACGCCAAAAATTGAGGCTACATTAAGGTACTTTCAGTCATGGAAATCGATCTCTTAGAAAATTATATAGTGTTTAAGAAAATTTGTTCCCTTTTTTATGTTTTTCACTAAATTGCAATTTCATCAGTTTGAGACTCTCTTTAAAATGAGCTTATCAAAAAACTCATTTTCAATTAATCACTTTTGAATCAGACATCTAGTTGATCTCATTCCAGGTTTTGGAGATATTTGATTAGTACAGTGGGAGCTCATATGGTCTTTATAAGTAACGAAGCATGCATGGGGAAATAAAAAGTTGTAATACAATACAATATCATTCACCCATATTGTAAACACATAAATTAATAACCCTATTTGATGGTATGACCGTCACACTACAAAATTTATCAAGCAGTTGAGGGCCAATTTGGTTACGCAGATTAAACTGTATGATTATTGGGCTTTGGACACTGGGTAACTGATTCGAAGTGGGCTGGCTTTACATGACACCTCCGGGGATTCGGACTGGCACAAACAATAGTTTGTTAATAAGGTAAATGTTTTTCTCGGACTCAGTATGGTTCACTGTGATTAGAGAATAATATAATTCCAATTTGTATTAGTAAGGTACATTGTTAAACAATAAACATTTTAGTTCCTAATGCAAATTGGAAAATCGTATCGCTGCACACTAAGTATACTGACGACCAAGCGTCAACTAACTCTTTGTCTAGTGACACTTCTCTTCGTAATAAAAATATTCTTAATTCGAGTTAACTCTAGATTGTATATGCACAATGCATGGAGAAGGAGCCACGTCCAAGTTCCAACAAAGAAAGTAACAGTTAGTGTGGCCCTTTACTTATTCAACCCTTGTATATGTGGTGTTTATTTACTCCCACAAATATCCATCATCACCACACAAGAAAAAAGCAACAAGATAAAAACCCAGAAGAGTCTGGAATTCAGTTTCCAACTCTCGCTGGAAAATTGGAAATGGAATTAGGTGCCATTAATCTGTCGTCCCCTTTGTCTCCATCAGCCCTCAGAATTCAGGTAAAATAACCTCATTATTTTACACTCCTGCTTCTGCTTGTTTCTTATCTGCTAATGTTTCTATGAATTGCATGACTAGAAAAGTAGACATTGTGGTGTTTTTGTATAGAGTTCAAAATTTTCATATTCAATCAAACCAGCTAATTTGGGAGGTGGTTTTTAAAGTTCTGTGTAATTTCATTGCTATGTCTGCTTACCAAGATTCTGATAGGCAAAGGTTTAATCTATTCCCCAGATGAATTCTGATAGGCAAAGGCTTAATCTTTTCCCCAGATGAATTTTATTTTGTAGTAAGTAAATGAGTAATTTGAAAAAAAAAAATATAAGGACATCTGCATAAATAGAAGAAGTCACAAACTTTTAATAAAAAATATAACTGGGAGGACACTAAACAGACAATAAACTGCGGTTATTGCTTATTGTTTCCTTAGTGTCTTCCCAGGTTTAATTTTTATTTAAAAGTCTGTAAGTGATCGGTGATCCCCGAAATTATAGTTTGTTTTCTCTTGATTATTGAACACTTGGTACTTGGTTCAGAGTATTCAACTAATTCCAGTGAGCAATTAGAACAATTTTACCGTTATTTTACCTGCATTTCTACGTGAAGTAATGGGGGGATTGTCTTTTGATCAATTCGACGTTCAACTTCATTTCAGCTCAGCCGAGCTTGAATTGTACCGATTATCATGTATAAACTGCAGGAAAATAGCTAGTGAATCTTAATTGCCAGGACTTAATTACTTGATGGCTTGATATTGCAGGATTTTTCATCACCTGTTGGTAGGAATCATTTTAAAAAATCTTTACATCCTCAGTTGCTGTGCTCTCCACTTCCTAAACCCTTTCTTCAACTTAATGACAGACCACATAGCTTTCTCTCCCAACAAAACACTGATAATCTCTCTACGAGAACGTATAGAAGATACATATCAGCAGAAGCTGGAAAGCAAAGTTGGGACTTGACTAGATTCTTGAAAACAATATATTTCTTCAACGAACCGCCCTCTCCTGCTAAGGTTGCACACTGCTAAAGTTTTCAACATTTCTAAAACAGAAAAGTGATCTTGTTTCAACTAACTAGAATTTGTTATTTGTGAAGTTTATTGAGGCTTTAATTGAAAAACTATCCGGCTCATCACCTAGTAAACCAGAAAGGAAAATGGAAACTTCTGGCATTGTCCTAGTGGCTGGAGCAACCGGTGGTGTAGGTCGAAGGGCAGTCAACATCTTAAGGAAGAAAGGGTTTCCAGTTCGAGTATTGGTATTCTGCTCATATATTTTTTGCTTTTAATTTTCAAATCACCTTTACTGCTTAAACTTTCCTTCCTCAAATTTATGTTTTTTATATAAACTCTCTCAGGTTAGAAATGAACAAAAAGCACGACAGATGTTAGGCCCAGATATCGACTTGGTGAGCTCGCAACCTTGTATATTAAATTTCCTTGTTGGAATTAGTTATGAGAGTCCTACTTTTAGTGGTGATACTTTATGGTAAAGAATCAGACTCATTTGTACAAGACTTATTCAATGGTTGTGGTGTCTTGATGCATGCTACAAGTATATTGTACAAATTGTGGTTGTGGTTTCATTTTTTTATCTTTTACATTCTCAACAGCAACCCTCTTTTATTTCCCGGAAAATGTCAGGTTGTTGGAGACATTACTAAGGAGAGTACACTAGTTCCTGAGTACTTCAAAGGTGTGAGGAGAGTGATTAATGCGGTTTCTGTCATTGTTGGTCCAAAGGAAGGTGACACTCCTGATAGGCAAAAGTATAGCCAGGTATGTTCTAAAGGCCTTATCTTTGATGCCTTCAAAGTTCATTTATCTTTCTTAAGCAAGCACTTAACAAGCAAAATTTGTTTTGAACAGGGAATCAAGTTCTTTGAACCAGAGGTGACGAACTGATTGCCTACATTTTGTATTTGGAGCCAGAAATTTCTTGAATATAAAGTTTAATTTGGACACGAATAATTATTTTACTTATGTTATGTGTGTTAATATAATTATACAAACATGTTCTTCTTAGTAACGCATTGGTTGATTGATGCAAGCAGATAAAGGGGGATTCACCCGAAAAGGTGGAGTACATTGGGATGAAAAATTTGATCAATGCTGTAAAAGGAAGCGTCGGACTTCAAAATGGGAAAATACTTTTTGGATTCGAAGGTATACTCTTCTGAACGGTGAAAACGCTGATTACAATCCTCGCGGCTGTCTTATACTAGGTCCAGTTACTTTAGTTGGAAATATAGAAAGCTCTTTCGGAAAAGGGAAAAAACAGGGGGAGAATTTAGGTTTATATGAAATATAGCAGGGGAAGCAAATGGTGAAAAACTTTTATTATACTTGTTAAAAATGCAAGGGAAGATGCTCGAATTTTCTAGATGTGGAAGCTAACTGAAATCATCAATGCTTGTAGGTGCTCAAATATGTAAATGTTCTAAGGTACCAAATGAGATCCCTTTGTAATTTGCAGGTAATAGTTTTAAGGAAATGACTTGGGGTGCTTTAGATGATGTTGTGATGGGTGGAGTGAGTGAAAGTACATTTCAGATTGACCGAAACGGTGGTGAAAATGGTGGACCAACTGGACTTTTTAAAGGTCTGCTCTATCCAAACTTTAGAACTTTTGTCTGTGTGTTGCCTTTCTAGTGGTGATTCAAGCAGATCGACAATGTTTGATTTTTTTCTTTATTTATATTTGGATGCATTTAGTTAACGTTTATTTATTTGGTATGTCTCCTTCAGGGGTTGTTTCCACTGCAAACAATGGTGGTTTTTCTAGTATCAGAACAAAGGTAAATAGCAATGTTTTCTTCTGACTTGTACCTAAATTCTGCACCAAGATTTACCGCCCTTTGAAGTTCGTAAGTTGCTTATTATCTAGTGATGAATATGCTTGTTTTTAGAATCTACCAACAGCTGAGGATCTCTCTGCATATGATGGCTTGGAGCTACGCCTTAAAGGTGATGGTCGACGCTATAAGTTAATTGTTCGCACAAGCCGTGATTGGGATACTGTTGGTTACACAGCAGGTTTTGACACTGTTGGAAACCAGTGGCAGACGGTAAGTAACACACTACCCTTTGATTAACATAAACAATGTGATTAAATTCTAAAACTTCATTAATAATTTTTCAAATTCCTTCCAGGTACGCATACCATTTTCTTCTTTGAAACCAATATTTCGAGCACGAACTGTATCAGATGCACCACCGTTTGACCCGAGCAACGTTGTGTCGTTGCAGGTACAATTTCTGCAGCCATAACGTTCACGTTATTTTAGTCTGTTATTTCATTTTTCTTGCGTCTATGTTTACCGATGATATTCAAAATTATGGCAGCTCATGTTTAGCAAGTTTGAATACGATGGGAAACTAAATCCTACTTTCGTGGAAGGCCCATTTCAGCTCCCATTATCAAGCATACGGGCATATCTAAAAGAACCTATAACTCCCAGGTTTCACGTTCTTTTCTTCTTCTTTTTTCGAACTATTTTTCAAGGACAGAACATAATTGATCTGCTAGGTGCACTTTCTGGTTTAGTATTTAACTGATCTCCTTGCTTTGAGTCCAATGTAGGTTTGTACATGTAGGTTCTGCAGGAGTCACCCGACCTGAGAGGCCTGGACTTGACCTAAGTAAACAACCTCCCGCTGTTCGCTTGAACAAGGAATTGGATTTTATCCTTACATACAAGTTGAAGGTTTCCTCCTAATCCAGTGCAATCTGTTTGATAATTTGACTTATGTTGGGCTTCAACATTTTATTGCATCTTAGTGTTTTGCTGCTATTTACATGTAGCAAGTAGAGTTTTACGATTTAGCTCTTACAATTTTCTGACATTTGAAAGTTTTGGAACAGGGGGAGGATTTAATACGGGAAAGTGGAATACCATACACAATTGTGAGGCCTTGTGCATTAACCGAGGAGCCTGCCGGAGCAGATCTCATTTTTGATCAAGGAGACAATATAACGGTATAGTTAAAGGGAAGATCAGTATTCCCTTTTGTTTGTGATGTATTTAAGTCTCTTTGCTTTGCTTTTGCACGTCAAGTTCGTCAACTATCTGATGGGAATAGTATTCCAAAGAATACTGCCGGCATTGGGTTCTTGGACAGCAGATAATCGTAGATGGCATCTTCCCCTTCTGAATGTGACGATTTACATTATGTATACAGGGTAAGATTTCAAGAGAGGAGGTTGCTCAAATTTGCGTTGCTGCTTTAGAAAGCCCGTATGCAACTGGCAAGACATTTGAGGTCACACCCTTAATACAGTGCTGTTTCTACATTGTGTTATACCATTCATCAACTTTTGCAGATTATGACATACTTATAACTCCTTTGCAGGTTAAGAGTGTCATACCATTTAGCCAGCCATTTACAGTGGATCCCGAAAACCCACCTCCTGAGAAGGACTACGATGTTTACTTTAAAACTTTGAAAGATGGAATTACGGGAAAGGAAATCTTGGAACAAGACCCTGTACCAGTGTAATGCTGCATGTATAGAGCTCTGCTATCAACATTAACTCTGTAAGTCAAAAAAATGGAGCATAATATGTTAACAATTTCGGTCTTATAACAGATAATTTTTCTCATTTGGAGTTTAAAATAAAGCTACATCCAGCCATTAAATTCCGCCATATATGTCATACATAGATGTACTCTAGAATTGTCGTTTTCAATATAGCATTTCCTTGTAACCGCTGCCCTTTTAACTTAAGGCTACCTCCTGTCTTTCTCATTGCAGGTGTATATACTCGTAGCAGATGAAAGGCAGAGGATTCTGTAGGACCATCAAAGCAATCAAAGATTATAGGGTTCTTTAGGACCATCATAGCAGTGTTAACTTTGAAATTATAGCCTTTGATCATGAGGTCCAAATCTCCTTATATATAAAGGTTTGAAGACTTTTTTCAACATCAGTTTACTTTGTACACGAGTAGCTTATATTATGTTTTCTAATGATATTCAATGAGATAATAAGTATACAGAAAAATGGATCCTTTTTTTAATTCTCTCCTCAAACCCTACAGTCTCTGGACCATCCTGAACTGAGAGGAACAAGGTGAGGAGAAAATATTCAGTAGGACAGTCTGCTAGTCAGGTCACTCTCACTAAGGGTGGGCCTTTGTGCATTGGAAGTCATGCTTGAGTATAGTGGGGGCTTATTCCATTGTGTGTGTACCTCAACATCCAGTTAATCGGGCAGCTCTATATAAGTTTTTTCCAGAATGAGGCCTCATGTACGAGAGTAACTTACCAATAACTAGAAGGCTCAGATGTCATAGTGGCAGTATCTCAAGCCAATTAAACACTGCTATGTGAGAAAGTTAAGACACATTACACTATTTGAATAGTTTGTGATACTGTCACAAAACCGTGGCCTAATTTATCGGTAAGATATTCTCCTCATGTAGCTGGCAGGTATGAATTGGAGGCTCTTGCCTTTAAATTTCTCTGTACAATGTAAGCTTTGATGAATGCTCTTGCATCTAAGTTTCCTGACCTTGTCATGCTAAAAGTAGACATCTGTTTGTAGAATTGGAATATATGTCTGGGACTGCGAAGCATTGATGCCACATGCAAAATAAGCCTTGGGCGCTGGATCACTGCATGATATTTACATATACGATCTCGAGGATATTATTCCAATTGTTATTGAATGCAGAAACTGCAATTTGAGGACCCTATAAGCCTGTCTCAGTGAGCTGTGATTTTGGGATACGTTTCATGACCTCACTAATCACAACATGGTAATTAATGTTGGAAGAAACTTACCTACATCGAGAAGTCATCGTTACAGTATAAAGTGATTCATAGAGTATCATGCATTTAACTTTTTTACATAGCAGATATCATTGATTTGTAATACAGCTTAAATAACATTTCTATTTGACAAGATGATTAGTTTAAAATATCACCGCAGTGATATTCCTGTGACATAGCGGTCCTTCTCATTGATATGCGTTGTTCAATAAGAAATCATTCCCTTTTTTAGCCGTGGGGTTTGGACCTTCCCTCCTAGGTAATGTCAAAACTTTCACCTTGTAACCGACACATTAGCTAAAATTTATCATAGGACATAAACTTTCATAACCCAATTTCTCACTCTCCCAATGTTCGAATCTTCCTTCCGGATACAAATATATTAGCAATAGTTTTCTACTCCTAGGTACATTAACATTTCTCATGACATTTATGTATATGGAATCACTAACTAATGTTCTAATAGGCAAATTACAGAACTTCTCAGTCGAATCTTCCTTCCGTATACAAATACATGAGCAATAGTTTTCTACTCCTAGGTGCATTAACATTTTTCCTGACATATATGTATATAGAATCAATGGTTAATTGAACAACTAACATGCAAATTACAGAATTTTCTAATTTTGTAAACGAAATTAAAGACAAACAAAAAGAAAACTCAAAGAATAAAAAGGCTAGATGCCAAATATTTGTATTCTCTAAATATTCTTTTTCCTTTTCCTTTTTTGGTTGTAAAAAAGGAACATTTACATGATAAAGTAAAAGAATAGTGAAAAATGGGGTTGTCTGTTTCTTCTTCCTTGTTTGATTTGAATTGGTTTCTTGACCTGCAATTCTCATAAATGAAGTCAGGATGGCTTCAAAATATCCTTCAAGAACACCAGCATCCCTACAAAATATCAGACAAAAACATACATAAAAAACCAAGCGTGAAACAACCTAAGCGCGATACAGAAGCACAAAAGTAAACCAATCACACAAACGAAACAAGAAGCTTAGCAACTCACCCCAAAACAAGCTTTATCGTGTCTTGCAGAAGGAGCATCCATTAGGGTTGAAAGTCTGGCAAGCATTTCTTGGTCAGTGACGATTTTTCCTTGAGAGCTCAGGAACACCGTACGCCGGACCAGAGGAGACCACAATCCGCTCTGCTCGTAATCAAAGTCGAACTCCGTGGCATCGAAGAACTTCTGCAGAAGTCGATCAGAGGTAGATTTTGGGACCAACTGCACAGTTGGACAAGCGGAAAGAGGACACGTGTCAGGCAACCCAGGTGTGGACGAAGAAGAAGGAGAAGAGAGCTCAGACTCAGTACCAGAAGGCATTTGGACAAATTGGAACCAAGAGTAACGGAACTGGAAAGATGAGGAACTTATAACTTGACAAAAATAATGTGTGTGTATAAAGGGGAAGTGTGGTAAGAACGTGTATGGCTGTATGCAATCATAGGGGGAGATCGTGGATGCTACGATACTTATGTCTTTGTTTATGTGTTTCAATATCTGGTAGCACTCTTTGTTTTTTTAAGCTAAATAGTCGCTGGAATTTGAAAAGGTTTGCTTTAGAGAGATGCTAGAGGAGTAATATATTAAATGAGGTCTATAAATATTGGTTCTGTAGTTCACATCACAAGGTGCTTAGCCTGCTTATATACGTATAGGGCCCGTTTGGGAATAATTTATGTAGGAAGCTGTCGTACTTGTGCAACATATGGCGGAGGTAGAGTGGATCGAACAATAGCTTGACAAATGTAAAACATCGAAGTTAATCATGCTTTACATATTACTTTCAAAGTTTCGATGGGAGCTCACAATATGCTGTTTTAAAGTGAACAGCATCGCGAGTCAAATAATTCAATACCACGTCAATCAACCTAAACCTTAATCCGCTGCGAATGGACACGGTGGCACACATAAATCAGTTGTGGGTCTACTTCATGGGACACCCAACTAATTTCCCAACGCTTGCATAATTCATGGTTGGTGTGAAAGATTGTCTGGTTGGTGAGGAAAGATCCCAAATTATATTTTTGTTTTTTGTGCAATTTCAGGCAGAAAAACTGGTTTCTCTATGACATAGTTGAATGTATTATTTCCTTGGACCAACATCCGTAGAGTATCAGGCACCTTTTGAGTGGCCATGCTATACGAAGAAAACTTTATTGTACAACAATGTATATCATACATCGGTCGTAGATAGAATGGATTTACCTTTTCTCAAATGTATGACGATGATAATTATTATTGTTGAATTTGCAAAGTGATGTAATGATAGAAAGATGCTACTAGTGATGATGATGAAGTAGCGCGGAATGAAGATCGATCACTTTGGTGCTGAAAACAGTGTCAGTTTTCATGCTTTCAGAAACTTTATCAAAAGGGAACGATCATGAAAAAAATGTGAATCATTATTACAAATCAAGAAAAGGCAGCAATAGAAATATCACAATCTCATTGTAGTCATTAGCTAACATGGTTCACGATATTCACCATAACATATATACCCCATAAGTGCGACACTCTAGTTGCTTGTTAAGTTCTTTGGTGTAATTTGTTCATACATATGTTACGAATGACTATGATACTTGCACCGTAAATTAGTTCAGTGACAGAGCCAGAATTTTATGTTAAAAGTCTCAATTTGAAACGCTCTACTGATCTTGCAAAAATTACTTTGTTGTGTGGTGAACAACCACCGTCATTTGGGTCTAATATGGTGTCATCCTCATCATTCTCTTCCTTAAACCTAAACGCCAAGCCTGTCTAACTTTCTTTCTCTTCTTCCACTGATCCCTAGACCGGAGTCCTCCTCAAAGCTCCAAAACAACGGATTTTCTAAATTCCATAGGAGCTACCAACCTCAAATCAAACCCGATGAATTTTTTTTTCAAGTAAAAATGTCGAATTAGGGCTCAGAGCCTACGAAGAAAACCTTGAAGAGTAAAAACATAATACTTAACTTTTATGCGTGAAAAAAATATCAGAAGGCATGGGCATGATACCATCATGGCTCTGCCTCTTCATTAGTTAGACCACATATGCTCTCTCTATACATTTGAATTCGAGTTTTCCTCTCATAATTTAGATCTAACATTAGATCATAACGCTAGAAAATAGAATAACGGTTTCATTTATTAGATAGTTCATAACGTTTAGTAAATAAAATCTTGACCAACAACAATATTAAATAAAATATCATAATATCTCACTCGAATCTGCTAAATTCTATCCTACTTTCTTGTTTCTGAAAGCCCACTTAGCCCAAAGACCAGAAATTAGAAGACCCAAAAACGAGCATCCCAAAATCTCAAAAAACACCCTCACTCCAAATGAGACCTCTCAGCTGTAACCCGCACTGATCAAGCAAGGACATAAACGTCATTTCACTTTCCACATTCCCTCCTTGCAGACAGGAGTCTTCCACAGGTCTGACGCGCCTCCGAAAAGCCGAAAATAATAACGGAGATTGCAGAGAGCAAAAGCAAATCACCGGGAGAGATCTGAAGAACGAGATCACCACCTTCTTCCCAGAAGCCAAAAAGCTTCAGACTTTTTCTTTGGGGTCACAGTAATGGCTGGGTACAGAGCTGAGGACGACTACGACTACCTCTTCAAGTTGGTGCTGATCGGCGACTCCGGCGTCGGCAAGTCCAACTTGCTGTCGAGGTTCACCAGAAACGAGTTCAGCCTCGAGTCCAAGTCCACAATCGGAGTCGAGTTCGCCACCCGCAGCTTGGATGTCGACGGCAAAGTCATCAAGGCCCAGATTTGGGACACTGCTGGCCAAGAAAGGTTGGTCTGCTTTCTTGCTTCTTTCTTCATCTTTCTGCTTTTTTGTGATCTGGTTTATTCTTATTTTTTTGAGTTTTTAGGTGGGATTGAAGCTTTTGGTTGATGATCATAAGATATGAAATGGGTCAGGGTTGTTGGGTTTTAGGGGATGAAAGAATTAAGCTTTTGCAATTTGGTTGGTGCCTGGATTTGGTGCTTTATTTGGGTTGTTTTAGTAGATCTGAATATTAGAATCAAAGTGCTCATACTTTTCTTGGTTTCGATTTGTTTCTGTAGCAATCTAAGTTATACACAGATCAAGCATTGATTCATTGTCTGAAGGAAAAATGTGGTTTTGACATTATTTTGTTGTTGTTGTTGTGCATATCTGCATTTCTTCTGCAATTCATTTTAACTTTAAATATGACTTATGAATTAGAAATGAAATGAAATGTGCAATCTGTGTTTATAGGTCTCTGTAATTTATGCTTTCCGGTTGGTGTGAATTGGTATTTGGAAAAGTCTGGCTGCTAGTTGCTACATGTAACGTCATTGATCCATCGGATAGAATGCTTAAATAGTAAATGCCATTACTTTCTACAGAGAAATGTACTTAATTTTCAGTGGAATGATGATTTTTAGTGCAGAACTTCTGTTTGTTGGATACCATTTCTTAGTGGAGCTTTGTTAATGGCTGGCTTTTCTTAAATATATGTGGTAGTCAAACCAACCAACCCTCTCTGTTTCAAAGTCATTACTTTCTGGAGATTCCAGCTACTGTGTTGGTAGAGAGATTTTTCATTAAATCTGATTTCAAATTTTCATCTGGGCTTCAAATTCTGTATGGTCGCCAGTAAAAAAAAGATGTAATATAACTTTGGTGTCGCCCCCTGAGTATTCTTACAGTTTACTGACGAGGCTACAGTCTTTTGTTAGAAAAAGGCAACTTGTTTACATTAGTGGAACGTGATTGTTTGATCTCTGCTAACATGGAATTATCAAGGAGATTGTATTTCTTATTGAGAAACTGAATTGATTTTCTCAAACTGCAGAGTTTGAACTTTGACATGGTTTGAAAAGAAATTGGTGTGATAAATGTGACCTATAGGTAATGCATTTAAGTTAAGTCTTATATATATGCTTTCTGGAATGAACTACTGGTGGGAAGTGCTCATGCAATGCAGGTGTGCTATATCTTTGTTCTGTATAGTTTGCCTTGAGCGTTATGATCTTTAGGGGTAAAAATGTGATGGTTTTAGTATTTCATCATTATGAAAAGCACGCAAATTATACTCAGTTTCAAATCCTACCACTATAAGGTATATATAAATAAACAAGATAAGTCATATCTGAGCGGATGGATGTTGAAGTTGGCCAAAGTTTTACTTTCTGTATTACCTACGATCATATGTGTCTCTATATTTCTAATGACTTTCTATAAGCCTGGAGCAACTTTTCATTTTGAGAGAGATAAAGCCTTCCTAATTTATTACTATTCAAACCAGTACTACTACTACAAATCCGAACTCTCTATTGTCATTCAAACTCCTTCACATGCCTTTTCACTTTGAACAGGTTTTCTGCATAACTGTTTAGCCAGTATTGTGCCACATGCACACTTGCTCTTCAATTAACAATTTTGGTTCGAATTTTATGCATATTTAATAATGGATAATAGTTTGAGCACCCAAACAGACAGCTGATGAGGATTATCTAGTCTCCCTTACTGTTCTGGTGAAGTTGTACGAACTGCGAGACAGTTCAATTACCCTCGAATTCAAGTTACATTATTCTTGCTAGAATAAGAGGGGTGCGATGAGTGTAAACTATCAGGTCTACTTTCTTTTCTAGCATTGAGAAGGAGAAAATAATGAATGTTATAATAGAAAAACAAACATGCTGCACATTCTTATGAATTATTCTGCTTAAGCTGACAAGATAATTTAAAATCTCTTCATTGAATACTACGTGCTCTCCTAGCGAGAATTGTGGCTGGTCCACATAAACAAATCGTCTGAAGTATATGTTGAGTGCCTCATGGTATGCCAATATAGTTGTCCCAGGACTACCCTTTCTCTTGAAAAAAAAAAGGTAAAATGAAGCCATCTGAATAGCAACACTGAGGTTGTGATTGGCACCAAATATTGGTTGAACTATTTTGTTTGAAACCCATGTTAGATATCCACACAGGATTGGAGATAGACTAAATAACCCAACCTACCCTCCGTGCCCAACTATTATTAAACTATTTAAACCAATGAGGATGTGAGATAACTAATCTCTTCACTATGTTATTCGACATGCACAAATTTTCTTCTGAAACATATTGTAAAGCCACCATCTGACTTCAGGTTCATATCTGACACTAAGTTACCCCAAGCCATCCACCTCAACCCAACTTGTCACTATCAACATTTGTTGTCTGTGTACGGAAGTTACCATTGTGTATAGAAAAATTGATGAACTTTTGGCTCTATTCAGATGGGTTATGTATGGTTGTATCATATTATTATTATATATTCAATGTATAATTTGACAGCATTTCTTTTTTGTGATGATGTTGACACTTGATCTGGAACACCTACATTTACTGTGATGTAGAACTTCAATATGCTCTCGTTTGATAGTTTATATGTAATTGTCTCTCTCAGTCTCTCTAGTAATGCTGTATATGGGATTTTGAATAAGTTAATGGTAATTTGATGTCCTAACTAATTGTGTTAGTATTATATTGTTATCATTATCATTATTTAGTATTGTTACATTAGTGCTATAGTTTGGGACTTGGCAGTGAAAAATTCTATGT